GAGGACACTGTGGCACAGAGTTCACATGACCTGCCCAAATCACATAGCTAATAAGTGGAGAGTGGAATTCGAACCTGCTGTGGTTCACCCAAAACATATGGCCACACGGATTGTTTGCTGTGTGTCAGGCACTGTCGTAGGCACTGGAAGCCCAGCGGAGAACACAATAACCTCCCTGCTCTCCCAGGGCTGGCGTTCTTGGGGTCCTAGAACACTGTGTCACCTAAGCACTCTGCACGGTGCTTGACACATGATGAAAGCCTCAAGAAACACTAACACCGTTTTCCCTCTTACCCCTCTCTCTCCCGGAGCAGACGTCACCAACTGATCACAGCCTTCTTTCCCACAGAGCCCACTTAGGGCCCCCAAACCTGTCTCAAGACGGCACTCCGTCAGGTTTGCATGGAGAGCAAACCATGTGGGCTCTGAGTAACCATGCTCTAGGGGAACAAATGAATACTTCGGACTCCAAAGCCCGTGGTGTCCACCACCAGGGGGGCGGGGGGGGGGAGCAGCAAAGCTAGGAGACAGGGGTTGGGAAGGTTTGTACAGGAAAGATCTGAGAAGCTGAGATTAGCCAGGGAGATGGGGAGAAAAAGAAATGCCAACAGCACCTCGACCCTCTTGCTCTTAGCCCAGAGCTCTCCAAAGAGGATGAGCAGGGTGGCCGGGGGTGGGGTCTGCTCAGGGTCTGGCCGTCCACATGCAGCCCTGGTCCCTGGAGCCACTGAGTAGGGCGGATAATCCTGCTAGGCCCAGGTCTTCAGAGGCTGGCGCTAGGCTGGGGGCAAGGCAAGAGGCAAACAAGCACCCCCACCCCAACCGACGGATCCGGACTCTGCTCCCTGCCACAGAGCCCGCTGCTGCTCAGCAGTGCCTTCCCACCCCTGCAGAAATCCTCGCTGCAGTGCCTGCTTTATGGCCTCTGCCAAATGAAGCACAAACTTAACTACATCACCCCCCGACAGGACAGGGAGGGGCTGGGGGCGCACACTGGGCTGCTTCAGCCCCCTAATCTAATCAGTGGCGGGCGTGGGTCATTTCAATTACGGACACCGGAGTGTGATGGGGGGCCTGGCTGCTCATCAAAGCTTCCATGCTGTTGCTCAGCTAATTATGAAGCTCTTACTGTCTCAGCAGGTAAATAACTCAGGACTGAAAAGTTTGGGCTGCTGAGATGGAGTGTGAGCCAGGGAACAGGACAGAGAGACGCCTGGGATGAGCTCCAGGGCACAGATGGGGTTGCAGGGAGAGGGGGAGAGCCGTCCTGGAGGGAACAGGGGACTGGGGTGGGGGGGGGGTCTCTGCCCGGGGGCGATCATCCTACAGCCAGGAGTTGGTGGACAAATTCCCTACCTTAAACACAAGATCTGAAGTTTACTAGAAGCTCCAGAGCCGAACCATGAGACAAAAATATCAGGTGCACATCCTTTTGCTAATCTCACCTTTCTATGTGTATTTCGATCCATGGGAAGTGAGTCCCCCCCCCCCTCACTGCCGAGAGCCACGGGCTGTTCCATGCTGCCTGGCCCCAGGGTTGGAATTGTGACTGCTCTGGTTTGCTTCCTGGTCTGACCTGTCCAGGCTCAAAGCTGGACCCCAGAAGCTGGCTGGGTCCTTGAGATGGAAGGGTGAGGGGTTCAGCTTCCTTAACCACAACAGCTTCTCCCCTCTAGGACAAGCAGGGAGGGAGAGGGGGAGGTCTTGAGAGGTGAGTGAGACCCTCCACCACCTGGACGTGCATGAGGCCATGCATGAGACCCCTACCCACCCCACAGGCTACAAGAGACCAGGGCAGAGTGCCTGCAAGTTATTCTGAGATGGAATGACATAGAAAACGGAGGGCTGCCTGTCTAGCCTGGGGCTGTGCTTCGCTAAGTCTATATTTTAGACATCAGTGAAGTCCCCAGAATTGGAGCTGTGATTTTCTTGGTGAGTTCCAAAACTACCTTAGATTCTGGGAAACAGCAGATGGTCGGAGCATTCACAGCTGGGAGAATCCCATTTTTGCTCTGTTCCTCAGTTTCCTTCCTCTGTGAAACAGGAATCGTGAAACGGATAAACATGTGGAGGACTTGTGCACAGAAAGGGTGCCGGCGCCCTCCCCGCCTCCCACCGCACAGGGACTCTGCTCCAGGGCCGTTGGTTACTGACGGTGCTGCTTCGGGATGCAGAGCTGACCCCAGGGCTTCGCATGAATCCCTGGCCGCCACGTTGAGATCAGGGCCCTTGGTGCTCGGACAGAGGTGGTTCACGCTGGGGCCCAGCTTAGCGGCCAGGCTTCACCCCTGAAGGGCTGCCTCGTAGAGGCACACACAAAGAACCTGGGGATGTCCTCTAGGGAGGCAGCGGAAGGGAGCTACCTGGGAAGTGGAATAGGAAGGCCCTGGGCAGCTCCCCCCACCCGAGTCTCCTACAAGAAGGCACAGGATGGTTTTAGTCCTTGGCCTGTGGGTCCCAGAATAAGGGCACTTGTGGGTTGAACCAGAGCCCATAACTGGAATCTGAGGCAGGCAGCGGGAGAAGGACGACACACCAAAGACTTCAGGCTGGAATCCATCTGTTAACAGCAGGAGGTCCTATTTTTATTTTGTGATGTATTACCTACTTTTCAGAGTATTGTTAAATACACAGCTTCATTCTGACCCTCAGCGTTGTGCGATTTGGTGGAGTAAGTATGAGCGACCCTAACGCCAGACAGGGAAGTTGAAGCTCAAGGTCCCCTGGCCAGATAGTGATGCTGCCAGGACCCCAGCCAGGTGCTTTCTCTAAGGACAGCTGGACAGGAAGGAGGCTCTGTAGCGGGGAGTCCACGGCAGGCCTTTCCCCTATAATAACTGAGGACGTGCAGAGAGATCTAGGGGGTCATTGGAGAGGCTAACTGAGCGGTGGGAGACAGAGGTGGCCGGGGGTAGAAAGGAGGAAGTGAGTAGGGAAACAGGTGGAGGTTTGCATGGACACTTCCTGTTCACAAACTTCTTACACTCCCCATTTCATTAACAGCAGCAGCGGAATTTCATGGACAATTGGCGTTGAGCACTAACTGGGAGGTAATGAGAGAGGGAGGATGCAGGTAAAGGCTGTTAGAATTTAAATTCTTTTTCTTTAAGGGGATGGGGGGGCAGGTTTTTTAAAAGGCAATTTTAGTGTTGCAAAAAGTTCCTAGCAAACAGCTTTGGACTTTTGTGTCCTCTGCTCCTAGCATTAGGAGGGCTGATTCTCACTCAGCCTCCTGGGGTCCACAAGCTCCCGATGGCTGCCCCGACGGTGGGCAGAGCGGGGCTGGAGCACCGGGAGTCTGACCTTGGGTAGACTCTCGCCTCAGGCCTGGGAGAACACACTAGAGACGTGCCCAACAGCAGCAGTGAGCTGGGATGAGCCGCTCTGTGGTCATCACTGCAGGGTTGCCAGGAGCAGAGCTCTGTGCGGACCTGTGCAGACATGGCGGAGAGAAGAGAAGCAGCCAACAGGGGACTCCTCTAGGAGTCTGTGGTCTGTGTGACAAGTGATGCGCCTACACACATACACGCCCCACAACACACACACTTACGTACACACATGTATACACACGTACACATGTACAATGCACCCCACACCTACAACACACACGTGTACACATGTACCCCACATCACACATACATCTACATACACACACCTACGTACACACACATGTACACACATATACACACGTACACATGTACCCCCACACCTACATACACACACCCCTACATACATACCCTACACGTGTACAAATGCACCCAACACACACACACTACAAACACACACCCACCACACACACACCTACGTACATACCCCACACACATACATACACACTCATGCACAGGAAGCCATAAAACATTCAAAGGGGGAAGGCTAAAGGATAAGGTAAAACTGAAGGTGGAGAAGGAGACAGAGTCACAGGATGACTGCGCGGGAAGGCCGTTTTGAGCAGGGTCCTTAGAGTGGCACACAGATTTGGTGACGCAAAAGACTATGTCAGCTAGCTGTGGAGGCCTGGACAGAACGGCAAGCAGGTGAGCTTGGCCAGACAAAGCCTCCATTTAAAAAAAAAAGCGATGTAAAAGGAAGAAAGTCAAAATGAGAGGAAGGAAAACTTGTGGAAGACTTGAACTCTAACCTTCAGGTGAGGGGGCCCCGGGAACTGCTGTAAGGTAAGCCGGTCAGTACAGATTTGGCTACTGGAGAGTAAGAGCCAGAAGCTGATGAGTTATGCGAGTGCCTGGTGACCAGGGCTCTTCTGTCTTAACAAGCAACTGTCGGCATAGATGGGAAGCTATGGGGCCACGGGGACTGTGAGGGCTAGTTTTGCGTGTGGACTTGGGTGGGCCACAGGACCCAGATATTTGATCAAACATTATTCTAGATGCTTCTGTGAAGGTATTTTTTTTTTTTTTTAACACAAGATTAGCATTTAAATCAGTAGACATTGGTAAAGTAGATTCCCTTCCAGAATGTGGGTAGGCCTCATCCAATCAGTTGAAAGCCTCAAGAGTAAAACACTGGCTTCCTGGAATAAGCTGGGAATTTGGCCAGCAGACACGACGCCTCTGCTTTGGACTCAAACTGCAACTATTCCCTGGGTCCCAGCCTACCTGCAGATTTTGGACTGGCCAAGTGTCCACAGTCATGAGAATAGCATGGGCTGAATTGCGTGACCTGCCCCAAATTCACATTGAAGTCCTAACCCCCCAGTGCCTCAGAATGTGTATCTGGAGTAGGGCCCTTAAAGAGGTGGTTCGGGTTAAATGAGGTTGTTAATGCGGGCCTTAATCCAACAGAGTTGGTGTCCTCATAAGAGGAGGAATGCGGACACAGATAGGGACACGTGCAAAGGGAAAGCCACCTGAGGACACAGGGATAAGGCAGCCAGCTGTGGGCCGAGGACAGAGGCCTCAGAAGAAATCAACTCTGCTGACACCTTGATCTCAGTGGGGAGAAAAGACATTTCTGTTTAAGCGTCAGAGCCTCTGGTGTTTTGTTATGGCAGCCCTAGCTGACAAATACAAGGACAGTGGATTATAATGTCCTTGAACCCAAGGGCCATGCAGGAAGCCTACCCCCTGCGCCGTGTCTTACACATGTTGTGTTGATTCGGTCCGAGAGGTTGGTACCGGCTTCCCTCCAGCAGGTGACGGGGTGCAGGGGGAGAGGTGCTCATGGGAGACAGTGGGAACAAGGGCTTCAGGACACGGATATGGTGCGAATCTTGCATTCTGCTTTGTGCAAGGTTGACCCTGGGAATCAAGTCAAGTGAAGAATGATCTGCAATACACCTAGGCATGTTCTGAAAGAGACTGCTAGTGGTGGTCACTCTGGGGGAGCGAACCAGAATCAGAAGGCAGGCTTCCTTTTCACTGTATACCTTGAGATGTCTGGGCACTTTCCTCCGGAATGCCTGATCCTGGGTCATGCAGTGCCCCCTCAGCTGTGAGCTGCACTGAAGGACAAGAGGCAATAAGAAGTGAGGAGCTTGTTAACCCATGTGCCCCCATCTCCACCCCCGCGGAAACCCTGGAGGCTGCCCCACGTGCTGAGAGCGAGCAGGCTCCCGTGTTCACGAGCTGGCCCACAGCGCCCACAGGGAGCACAGGGTGACGGCATAGAGTCCCAGCACGACGGCGTAGGCTTGAAAGAGCAGTCGGTCAAAACGCTGCAGGAGGGCCAGCCACTTAACCTCCTGCTGCTCCGCCTGCTCCCAGGTTTGGAAGTAGGTGCTGATGGACCTCAGCTGGAACCAGACCTCCTTCAGGGTCCCTGGCTGGACCTGGTGTTCTTGACAGAAGGGGGGCTCTGCATGAGAGAGGAAAACATCCCGGGTGAGCTGGGGACTCCCGAGGCCCCCTGGGCTTCCCACCGCAGCCCACGGCCTCATCCTACAAGGAAGGTTTGTAGGGGAAACAGGGTGGTGGATTGGGTTGGGCTGGTGGGGCCGGGGGCAGGGCTTTGCTCGAGGAAGCTCTGCAGAAGGTGGCAGAGCTGGGCGGTGCAGGAAGCCTGTCAGGGCTAGATCTCCCCCGATCCTCTTGAACCGGGGCCAGCCCCACTGACTCCGGTGGAGCTTTAGGGGCTGGGATGATTTTATTTATTTTTTTATTTTTATTTTTTAAAGATTTTATTTATTTGAGAGAGAGAGAATGAGCATAAGTGGAGAAAGGTCAGCAGGAGAAGCAGACTTCCCGTCAAGCAGGGAGCCCGATGCGGGACTCGATCCCAGCAATCCAGGATCATGACCTGAGCCAAAGGCAGTCACCTAACCAACTGAGCCACCCACACGCCCCTGGGATGATTATTTTTGATTGTGATATTATTTACATATTATAGTATGTTTCAGGTGTACAGCATTACACACACACACACACACACACACACACACACACACAAAACGATCACCAGAATAAGTCTGGTTAACCACCACCACACAGCCACACGTTTTTTTCTTGTGATGAGAACTTTCAGGATACACGCTCTTTAGCAGCTTCCAAGTAAACAGTAAAAATACAGAATGCTTCACACGTCTGCCTCTCATCCCTGAGCAGGGCCACACTAACCTCTGCACTGTGCCAGTGTTACTATATGCGCTGCTGAAGCGAGCCCTGGGATAATCCACACACCTGTTCACATGAAGCAACGGGGACCCAAACACATACAGGCCCGTGTGCGCACACACTGGCACTTGATTACTCCAGAGTCAGTCGCTGAGTCGCTCCAGCTGACTGGCTAAAAGTGGAAAATACAAACAAAAACAAGCAAAGTCAACTAGGGCCTGACCTCTAAGCTAAAGCGAGGCTTTCTGGAAAGTCAGCGAGGTCTCCGGAGAGGTCCTATCAAGTGCAGCACAGGGGCTAAGAAGCCAGTGTTCCAGATTTTTCACACAGCAGGACACATGGCCTGGTGCTCCACCAGTGCAGAGAGTGATCAAGCAGGACAGGGTAGGGACCCCGAGGCTTCTCACAAACCTGTTGCCCCAGCAAGCTGGGCTCTGGGATCTGTCCTAGGCTCATCAGCATCGGTGTCCCCTTGAAGGCACAAGAGGGGCCGTTCCTGCCCGGCGCCACTCTCATCATGAAGGAATCTGACCAACAGGATGGACTTAAATAAGCTGATAACCAGGAAGGCCATGCAGACCACAAAGAAGACCCCTGAGGGAAGGAACCAGAGAGGTGTAAGCAGCCACAGTGTCTAGGGCCTCTCCCTCCCCTGATCTGAAGTACAACATCAGATCTGTGACAGGAGTCACGGAAGATGGGTGTCTGGTGTCCCCAGGGCTGCTTACCAATCAGAGGGGTGCTCAGTGCACTCCTGGGCATCTCGTCAGATATGTTGACCCTGAAGACGGTGTAGCCCACCAGCACGCTGGTCTTGAACGCAATCCTGGCACGACACGTGGGTGGTAAGTAGAAGCTCCCCAGATCCACGAGCATTAGGAAGATGCTGGGAATCAGCAGGCTCACAACATAGACCAGTGGGTGCCTGCGAATCACCACCTGACCGGGGACAAGGCATCCGGTGAAAAGAGGATCTGTGCTGAGGGACTAGAACCCAGAGTCAAGAACATTCCCTGATGTCCCAACATGTTTGCATAATGTGAAAAAGTTATGTAGTTTAGAAAAAGATTATTTTGTGGTTTAGAAAACAGGAAAAAAAACCTTTAAGCTTTTATGCAGAACTAACATCACTAATTATAAGAAGATGTGTCTATTTATTTGCTGCTGGCTGTATGCCAGGCACCAGCCCAAGTGTCTTCTGTTTCCTGTCCTGTTCAATCCTTATGCCCATTTGAAAGGCTGGTTATTATTATCTCCATTCTACAGACAAAGAAACTGAGGTTCGCAGAGATTAAACTGCTTGTTCAAACTCACACAGCTGGCGAGTGAGAAACTGTTTTAAATCCAGGTCTTAAACCAAAATCTTCCTTCTTATGCCACTCATACAACATATTGTACTGCTTTTGGCTTAGCCTGTCCCCCTCTGTAGAATGCGAGCGTCTCAGCACCTGTGTGTCTGTCAGAGTCTGGGCAGGACCAAATGGTACCCCGGGGGAATCTGAGGAAGGTTTGGCGAAGAGACTGCTGACAAGGGATGGGCAGGCAGAGGGCAGTGCCCCAGATATCTGGGAGGACTGGGTGAGCTGTGTCTCCCCCGAGTCCTGAACGGGTTTAGGGCTGGGAATGTGACTAGAATCTGAGGAGAGAAAGCTGGGTGGAGGAGACCACCACAAAGGAGCTATGGCCCTTTCCTCCCTCTCTGGGGCACAGCCAGCCTGGTGGTGATTCCACAGGGAGAAAAAATGAAGGGATACAAACCCCACTCACTCTCCCCCTCTCTCCAACCTCCTCCCATTCCATCCCTCTTCCCGTTGGTCAGTGAGGCCAAGGTTCATGTCCAGGGGCACAGGGCAGGAAGAGAAGGGGTGAAGCAGACGTAAGTGGGGGGACGGCTGCAGGTGCCCGGCAGGATGGCTGGGCGTACAGACCTGCTAATTGGGTTCTGTAGCTGGGAACTGGAGACTCAAAATGTTGCTCTGTTTTTGCCATTTTGGTACACCTCACTTCTCTGGGATGGTGACAGAAGTGTCTTTGATGAACACACACTATTTTCATCAGGGAATGACAGGACTGCTTCCCCATGACACTTTGAGGGCAAAACAACAACAATGAAAAATTCCTCATGGGGCCAGAAACAATACCTACCTTATTCATGTTTACTGAACAAATGAATGTTCTGAGCCCTTTCCTATTGGATCTGGGGGGAAAATAATGCTGAAATCTTCTATTTCTCTGATCCACCGAACAGCTGAATGCTTTCTGTGTGTCAGATAATATGTGCGATGCTTTTATGCATATGATGTGGTTTGTTTAATTCTCACTGTGAGCTTGTTGGCAGGTAGTAGAACACCCCCCAATCTAGATTCTTAAAAATAAAACTCGGCTCCTGAAGTAAGTGGAGTAAGTGGCAAAGCTGGGCAGTGCCCCACATTTGAATCCAAGCCCAGTGTTCTCCGCCACAGCTCTTGACTACAGCTCTTGGTCTGAGCAGACATCTGAGTTGAGTTCAGGGCTCTTCTCCCTCATCTCCATCTTCTGAGGGAGCCCAGGCAGAGGCCAGGGATGGAGGAGAAGGTGGTAGGGAAGAGCTGGGCTGGGCGAGACCAGACATCTACTGCCTTGCAGAAGACAGCGGCGGCCCCAGCCGTTGGGTCTGGGAGTGTATCCCAACTCAGTAGAGCCTGGCGGGCCGGAGCCATCTGGGGGACTGTAGTCGGGCTATTGTCTTTCACATTAAGCCCAATTGGCTGCAAATATCTAAAGGAGAGCAACACTCATGCTTTGTAATAATTTGGTTAAAACACGTTTCTACCAAAGCACAGTCAACAAGAAAACCACCACCAAATGAACTGTCGTCACCCTGGGCCTCTCAGGTAGTCTTTGTCATGCTGTGACAGAGATGGCTGCGGTTAGCTGGGGGTGGGAGGAAGGGAGCTGACTGGTTGGAGCCCACGCGGGTGTTGTGTGATGGGCCCGGCCTGGGCTATGTGGGCTGGTGTGGGGCGATCAAGCCTGATGTCTCTAGGGGGGGAGAAGTGGGAAGTCTCCCCTAGAGATTTCATAGAAGAGGATGAGAAGTGTAAGAACAGCATCCTAAAGGAAGTTCAAGTGGGCGGGGGGCGGGGTGGGGGAGGGTAAACAGAAACAGCCCAGACTTTGAGGCAAGGGATTCAAGCTCCAGGAGCCCTCAATTCTAAGTGCCCATGTGTGCTAGTTTAAGTGATCCTGGCTGTATGTCTTGATTTTCCTTTTTTAAAAAAGTACTTTACTGGGGAGCCTGGATGGTGTAGTTGGTTGAGTGTCTAACTCTTGGTGTCGGCTCAAGCCTTGATCTCAGTGTCATGGGATTGGGCCCCATGTCAGGCTCTGTGCTGGGCATGGGGTCTGCTGGGGATTCTCTCTCCTCCTTTCCCTCTTCCCCTCCTCTGTCTCTCTCCCGCAAAATAAATAAACAAAGCCTCTTTTTAAAATTAAAAAAAAAAAAAATTAAAAAGCACCTTACTTTTGCTTGCTGAGCATTTGGCTATGATTGAGATCGGCTGCTTTACTCCAAATAATGCTCCTGTGTAACTAGCACGTGTTTACCCGGTTCCTCTCTAACCAGAGGCTGCTGCAGAGAGTGAACGTAAACCTGGGCCCGAACCAAAGGTGGAACCCCAGTTCTATCAGACTCCATGACCCCCAAGGTGCCAGGGGAGAGGTGTGGCCACAGCCAAGAGGCTTGGAGGCAGGCTGGCGTCATGGGCATACCACTTGGGAAGTTACACAGGGGCCAGCACTTAGAAGGGATCGGTGCTTGGTTTCGTGCTCTGCTGGGGTGCCGTTTTGAAACCAGTAATTTTGAATAGGGCGCCCCACGTTTTCACTTCGTACCTGGCCCCGCCAACCATGTAGCCCATTCTGTCAGGGGGATATTTTGCCCCTGGAGGATGTTTTGTAGCTGAATGTAGAAGGGAAACTTGTAGCCACAAAGGTGGCTGTCACACAGGGCAGATGTCTCCCCTGCATATAGACACTCTCTATTGATTTTCTTCAAGAGCAAAGGGCCTTCCTTTTTATTTAGACTGATTTAGGAGCAATATTACATATGGACTAATTTCTTCTACAAGCCCAGTGCAGCCTAAAGAAATTTTAAATTTTATCACATAGTTTTCAGAAATGATTTGTTTTCATGTCTCGTTTGATCCTCAAATCCCTTTATTCTCTTGTTCAAAGAACATTAATTGAGCATGAACAGAATGTCAGGCACTTTTTAAAATATTGGAATTAGTACAGTAAATAGGATAGGTTTCTCCCCTCTCCATCCCGTGGAATCAGCAACCGGGCTCTGGTGGTTGGATGTTTTGGAGTCTGCAGATGGAAAGGAAGTTTGTGCCAGAATGGACCATACTCAGAGTCTGTACCTGACTTAGATGATGAGATTTGGGACCTTCTGAGTTTATATTTCGATTATATTTTGGTCTCAGGGTTGGTGCTGAAATAGGTTAAGACATCTAAGGATGTTGGGATAGGGTAAATGCATTTTGCACATGTGAGGGACCTGAGTTTTGGGGAGCCAGAGGGCCAGAGGGCAGTGGACAATAATGGCCCAAGAATGAATGTCCTTCCTGGGAGCTAAGAATGACCTTATTTGGAAATGGGATCACCGCAGATACAAAGTAGTTCAAAAGAGGGTGGACCCTTGTCCCAGGATCCTTATGAGATCTGGTATCCTTATGAGAAGAAGAGAGGAGATGCATAAAGGAGAATGCCACGTGAGGACAGAGGCGGAGATCGGAGTAATACATCTACAAGCCAAGGATTGCTGGCAGCCGCCAAAAGCTAGGGGAGAGGCATGGAACCGATTCTCCCTCAGAGTTCCCAGGAGGAACTAATTATGCTGACACACCAATTCCTAGCCTCCAGAACTGTGAGAGAATAAATGTATTCCTGTTGTTTTAAGCCACCGATTTGTGGTCCTTTGTTATGGAAGCCTTAGGAAACAAATACAGGTGACTTGCCCTGTAACACGCCGTGATGAACGCCAAAAATGCCCTAGAACATATGTGTTGAGTTGTGTGGCAGTGGCAGCTACATATAGGATTAGCCTGTGGTCTCTGGAGTCAGATTTTTCAGGCTCCACAGTCACCCTGTCCCCTTGGGCAAGTTACTCAGAACTGGGGGAGTTCACTTCTCTGTGCCCCCAAATCACCCGTCTGCATGATTTGTACTCAGAGCACCAATCACATAGACATGCGAGGATCACATGTTCAAACTCTTCAATGGTGTGTGGTGTCAAATAATGCTCAGTTTTGTAGTTATTATTTCAAGTCTCCCTGGGCCACATTTGAGGCCCATGATGGATACCAGGAGCCCAGTTTTACTCATGCTTGTGGTCCCAGTGGGGCCACTGAGACTGGCACGTGATAAGAGCTCAAAAGATGTTCACTGAGTTGTACTGAGTTGAGTCTATGAGTAACGCTACTTTTAGTTCCAATTAGGTGGGAGTGTGGAGTTTGCACAAACAGGGGCTCTCCGGGTGAGGTTGGTCCTCTGAGGGCCGCCTCTCTGCAGGTCATGCTGGAGCCAGTACCTGACTGCTGATGCTTGGGAGGAAGGTATGTCACCTGCTCAGTGAGGCACCGCTCTCCATGGGACTGGCTCTACCTAGAGCCCATCACTTCTAATGGACTAAAGGAGCTGGTGCCTTTAAATTCCACAGAAAGGGAAGAAAAAGCACTTTAGTTTCAGTCCGTGTTCTCCATTAGACACCCTTCAGGTGTTAGCAATATTATGCCACAATTTCATTATCCATTAAAGCCAGGTAATAATAAGTACACAAAGGTATTTGGAGCCTATTGATGTTAATGAAAGAGATCAATCTAATTCAGAATGTGTGTGTGGAGAGCTCCTTGGAGATGGAATAGGCCCCAAGGTTAGCCTTTAATTGCCTCCTTGATGGCAGACCTACCAGTACTCAAGTTTGCATGACCGTCTTTATGACATAGTTGGAATTTTTGACGCCCAGCCTCACGCTTCATACAGAAGCCCATCTTCCTCCTCTCCCATGCCCCTCCCAACATTCCCAATTCGGAAAGAACGGGAAAGTTGCTGCCATGTAACTGAGGTCCTTGCATAGGAGTGAGAGTTTCCTGGATCTGGACCACGGGTCAGGGGGGATGAGCAGAAAGCTCATGATTCCAGGGGCACTTGAGTGACCTGGAAAGACTTCTAGGACTCTAAATTCTCTTTCTTCACTCTCTCCCTTGATCGCTGGTGGATTCAGAAAGATCTATCAGGTTTATTAACTGCATTCAATAGACATCTCAACAAAATTACTCTACCCTAATCTAGAAAAAAAAAACTATGTCAGAGAAAGAGGATAGAGCAGGCAACTTTCTTTCTCAAATGCCCCTCTGCATTTTTCCAGGAGCCCCCAGAGGGCTCCCACCTCCTTCCCGCACGGACTTTTTGCTCATTGTGAGGATATCTGAGCGATGGGCTCCCAGGAGTTCCCACAGCTGTCCACCCTCTTCCATCCAAAATGAATTCTCACATTTTATTCCTACCTCCTCCCGCTTCTACCCTCATCCTTAAAAAACCCCAAAAACAGCTGCCATAAAGAAATCAAATGCTTCCCCTGCTGCTTCTGGGAACCAGCACCTCCGATAACATATTGGAGGTAAGATCCCCTCCTAAGGCTGCTGGACCGGGAGCCAGGCGCACACAGACATCCCCGGAGGCAGAAGGGCCTGTGTTCTGGGTCCCCTGTGGAACACAGCCTGACTCAGTGCCCGTGTCCTGGAGTCGGTCCGTGTCCTGGAGTCAGCAGATAGGACTGCCCGTTAGCTGGAACCAACAAGGCATCCTGAGCATGTGATTTAGTACCAATGGCAGCAGAGCACATCAGGCCCAGAGTGACAACATGTTTAGAACAGATCATTTTCCCTCCCGCCTACGTGGGCTTGTCTCCAACCCCTTGCTGGGCAGCCTGGGCAGGGCTACAGCACGTGATTAGATTAAGAGGGAGATGGCCCTTGCTGTCAGGACCCTAGTAGACCCAATGTTGGCACAAATCCGGGCTCTGAATTTCACATCACTGCCCAAGGGCTACTGAAAGACACCAGGACTTGTCAGTTGTTAACTTCAGAGCAGGAGGACTGAGAATAAGAGAACATAAGTCTGGCCACGGTACACATAGCAGGCGGGGGAGGGGACACAGAGGCTGAGACAGGTCAGGGAAATAAAGAACTGGGATAGTCACTGAACCTACTTTACGTCTGTTCAGAGCAGTGGAACCGCTGCTGAGTCTGGCTCCCTGCCCTAGGAAACACGATCTGTGACTCTACTCAGGGTTCCCTCCCTCCTCCGTTCTAGAGGGCCAGGCTAGAAGGCAGCCCTGCCACATAGCCCACTTCAGCCTCCATCCAGGGCAAAGCTCCACAAGCAGGAAGTCCTATCGCGGTCTACCTCTAGCCTGCGTCCACGTACACTCTGTAAGTGCAGATGCAGCATGGCGGTGAACAGAGCAGAGGAGGAGGGGGTCATTGTTCGTGAGATGCAGGGAAGCTTCTCCTTTCCTTAAATGATCTTTCACATCTCTGCTCATCACATTTAAAATGGAGCTACCAAATAGAAAACCTCTGGCCACTACTGAGAAGACAAACTAATATTCAGGGTACGGGATGACGTGTAACCACAAGTAATGGCTGCTCTATGGAAAGTGTGTGTGTGTGTGTGTGTGTGCAAGTGTGTACATGTGTGTGTGGGTGTGCATGCATGTGCGTGCACGACTCCTGTTTACCTGCCCTGTCTCTTGCCTTTGTTTGTCTCATTCGTGCAGCGTAGGTAATGGTGTGTGCAGCGTTCTCCGGCGCGCTTGCTAGGTGACTATGCCCTACCTTGCGCGTGCTGCTCCCTCACATTTCCCTTTAATGCTCTCCATTATTTGGGCTGCATTAATAATGTTTGTGGGCTGATATCTTTAAAATTAATGAGGTGTTTACTCTTAGCCAAGAAACTCATTGAAGTTAAAAAAGCTTTCTCTTCTTCCCCTCCTCTTCTCTCGCTTACAAAGAGGTGGACAAACAAGCCACAATGCTAGCTTTGTTAGAAACCAAGCAGAACAGGGAAACACCCAAACCCCACCACTGGGAAGGCATGAGTTGTGATTAGTTAGTCATACGGAGTCGGGTTCAAGCCACAGCTACTTCTAGGAGGCCCTGATTTAACCAGGGCTTTGCTAGAAGGTTACATAGAACACTTACTAACAACGGAGGGCACCTGTGCCCTCGAGAATAGCTTATCTCACCCTCTCTTAGCATAAGATTAGCCAGCGCAACCACAGTACCTAGTCTAGTCTGAACTTTCCCTCTTATTCAAAAGATTTATTTTCAGGAGAATTCATCTTGAGTATAATCCTGGCTGGTCTGTAGTCTCTATTTTTCAATCAGAGACACTACCTGGCATGAAGGACTCCTCCCCACCCGACCGCCACCACTATCTGACTTGGTGTGGAAGAGCAGAAGTGAATATGAATCGTGGGTCGACCAGCCGCATGATCGTGCTGCAAACCACTTATCAGGGAAGGGAGAATGGCTGCCTCTGGACTGTAAACCAGCAGGCTTCATTGTCCTACACCCACCTCCCAAGCTCCTGCGAACCAAACCTCCCCATGATAGTGCGGCCAAGCGCGTCCCTGGTGGCGCGTCTGAGAAGTCTGGGTAATCACTGAGTCATTTTAGAGCAGCTGTCCTCTCTGGTCCAGAAACCACCAATAGGTTCCAAGGATCCTGCAGGTGATTTGTTAGCTAACTGCTCGAGATAGTCAAGCTAATAATGATAATTTTATAAATTTGTATCTGGAATTAATAATTGACTCAGTTAAAAACAGGACAATAATGTCGAAGAGACAGTCTTCTCCCAATTTGTTGTTATTGTTGTATGTGGGGTTTCTTTTCTTCCCTCTCCATGGCTGTTAGGAATGAGGATGTCAGTATGTACCGAAAGGCTTGAGGATGCCTGCTATGGTGGTGGTTCTGGTGCCTGAAAACCAATCTTTTTATACCCACATAAGGGATATCTGCAGCAGGAGTCCAGGGCCTGTGGCTGAATCTCTGGTCTGGGAAATGCCATCACGCCGGGGGACGTCCAGAGCCACCAGAGTCATCTGTTCTCGGATGATCACAAGTGAGAACAAGCAACAGAGCAGAGACTCCTCAGCCCAACACAGAAGGCCCAGGGCTGCCGAGAAGTGGGCAGCCGGGACAGGGAGGAGGACTTACGTGAAACTGAATCTGGGCAGACTCTCCAGCGCAGCTCTGCAGGATGTTGTGCGTTGAGGACACAGAGAGAAGCTCCCACTCACTGTCATTCAAAAATTCCTTCTTGTCATGCTTCATGTCTCCTCTGCTCCTCAGGAAGGCCAGGTTGATGTCATGCACTGACAACAACAGAAGCAAGTGACTTCTCCACAGAGAGAGGCCTCGATAACAACCAACTTTTCCAACTCCCCATTCAAATTCTTCCCTTTACTCCTGCCCCTGCATGTACAGTCTCACGGAGACAGGGTTCAGTATAACCATTTTGAATTAGGGATAGCAATGTGGAATAAAATCTTTTGAGCAGGAAGACAAAACAAAAGAAAAACAGGAATGAAACCCCGCTGTGAATTTACAGTTTGTATTCCATTATCCATAGAATGCTGGCCACGGTCCTAGGACTTCTATAACCTTCTCAGAGGCAGCAGAGGTCAACTATTGTATTCCCAAACCAACAGCAGCAATGAGCTGGGCACAGCACAGGATTTATTCGGGATGACAACAGAAGCCAAAGACGGTAAGAAGACACTGAGATTTGCAAAGAGTCAATGATGTGCGAGAACAAAATGACCTCGCGGATGGCACGACCAAATGTTACCCGTGTGTGCCAACTCAGCGCAGTGTGTCTCCCACTAGCAGACTGGCCTCTCCCAGTTTACCTGTGTGCAGGGCGCTACTGAAGGTCAGGCTGCAGTTCTGGATGTCAAACGGAAACGCATAGGTTTCTAAACTACACGCAGAGACCACCTGGATAGGCTTAGAGTTCTTAATGGTCCCAGATGAGTTCACATAGACATATGGAAGGTCGGGTGATCCTTCGAAGTCCACACTATGTAAAACACAAGAGACCTCGCTGTTACAGAGAGGGTCTTCCCCATTTCAATCCACAGGCAGAACTGATTATGAGATGGCAGTGACCATGATACCCAGGACTTGCCCAGAAGTGCAAATAAGAATCACATTTCCCGTGACATAATTCACCCTGGCAAAGATGGACTCAGTAATCAGAGTCTCAAAAGTTAATTCACTTGGTGCTCTTGAAACACAGACATAATCCATGAGTAACCTCGAGCATTTGCAATCCAATCTGTATCTTAGATGACATCAAGTCATGGTACTTCCAACTTGAATATTCCCAAAACTGTGATCCTTTCCAAGATGAAAACCAAAAAACAGCAGCAATAACTGAAAGTAAGAGCAAGTGGCCTGAACAGTCCAAGTAGTGTTAAACCCCATGGAAATATACCCCAGCACACTTACACCTCCTTGATGATGATGTCAGGCATCCAGATGTCACTTAGAGGTAGAGAGATCTCTCTAATCTCATCAAACATGCTGGGGTTCCAGGATAAAAACTCATCATCCCAAACCTGTAAGGAGTGGCCAGAAAAGAAATTTATCAAAAAGGGGCAATGTCAGTCTCACCAAAGAATTGAAGAGGGATTTGGGTGAATAACCCAACTGATCTGCTTGATGGCACTGTTAGGGGAGAGGACTTTTCTCCCAGCTCCTAAAGATGGTGCCCCAACCAGAAACCATGGCCATATATCTTACACAAAATCTAATAAATTAGGTCTGCTGCACATCTAAGAAGCTAAGTTGCAAACACAAAGAAAATATCTATTCCTTAGAATAATGATATTTTGCAACAGGTTAAGATCAAGGGTCCAGCATGCACAGAAAGAAACGTCATTTACCTCGTGGTACCATATACTTGTCTTCAATTTTTGGTTCTGTGCGTCCTGCAAGGCAAAGAGAAAATCTGTACCAAATCTTAGAATGTCAATAAATGAAAGTCCAATTCAACACGATGATAATTCAGAGAAAAAAACAAATCTAACTCAATATGTTGATTTTGAAAGTATTGCCTTCACTCTTCAAGTCTGAGTATTCTCGGTTCCTATTTATTTACACATGCCTGTCACCGTGAACTTTACCACAGTCTCTATGACAAAATGGCACCATGACTACATCTGACATCTTGAAGGATTTGCTAATCCCTTTCCTACCCTAATTAGTTACTCTGCCATTAATCAAACTAAAAAATGACATGTAGCCTAGCCAATTCTGGGCTAAAAAGATGAGACCAAGCTTTCATTTGTAATTAAGATATTATTCATAATATTTCAATGAGCATTATCTCAACTGCTTTTGGCAGCCATTCCTGTGAAGTTACCTTCTGTTTGGATTTCTCTGCTTATCAAACAGACTGAATGAGCTTCATGTAAATGAACTGTATTTTTGATGATCTAGATGTGATTTCCCCATGTCGGCAATGAGTAATTTTTTTTTAAAAGACCCCTAAGAATAACAAACAAAAAAACCTGCGCCTTACTAATTTTTTCATATCTACTCTAGCAAAGAGCATTCTAAAACTGCTATGTCCTGAGGAATTAAAAGGAATATCCCACACCATGTACAAACATTCACTCATTAACTCAAAATGGACCATACACCTAAATGTAAGAGCTAAAATTGTAAAACTTTAGAAGAAGACATAGGACGGGTGCCTGGCTGGCTCAGTCTGTTGGGCAGCTGACTCTTGGTTTCAGTTTAGGTCATAATCTTGGGGTCCTGGGACAGAGCCCCACGCCAGGCTCCAACCTCAGTGGGAAGTCTGCTTGGGATTCTCTCCCTCCCCACAACTGCATGTGCACACATTCTCTCTGACTCAAATAAATAAATAAATCGTTTCTAAAAAGGAAGAAAACAAAGGAGATCATCATGACTTTGAATTGGGCGGTGGATGACACCATAATCACTACAACCAAAGAAAAAGTAAATGGGACTTCATCTAAATGAAAACCTTTCGTGCTTTAAAGGTAAAGGACAGGGGCGCCTGGGTGGCTCAGTGGATTAAAGCCTCTGCCTTCGGCTCAGGTCATGATTCCAGGATGCTGGGATCGAGCCCTGCATCGGGCTCTCTGCTCAGCCAGAAGCCTGCTTCCTCCTCTCTCTCTGCCTGCCTCTCTGCCTGCTTGTGATCTCTGTCAAATAAATAAAATCTTTAAAAAAAAAAAAAAAAGGTAAAGGACAGCTTCAAGAAGTAAAAGGACAATCCACAGAATGGAAATAATATCCGCAGATCATATATCTGATCCGGAGTTAATATCCAGAATACATAAAGAATTTCTACAAATTAAAACAAAACAATGACCCTACTTCAAAATGGATTATTTCTTCAAAGTGGATATGCAAATGGCTAATTCACACATGAAAAGATGCTCAATATCCCTGCTATGGACCAATTATGAACTTTGATCTTGGACTTCCCAGCCTCTAGAACTGTGAGAAATAGAGTCTATGGTACTTGTTACAGCAGTCCAAGCTGGCTAACACAATCCCTGATCATTAGGGAAATGCAAATCAAAACCACAGTGAAATACCACTTCACTCTCATTAAGATGGCTACTAAAACAAAACAAAACAAAATCAAACAAAAACAGAAAATAAGTGCTGGTGAAGATGTAAAGAATTGGAATCCTTGTGCACTCTTGGTGGGAATATAAAATGGTACAGCTGCTATGGAAAATAGTGGCAGTTCCTAAAAAATTAAAAATAGAATTACCATATGGTCTAGCAATTCCATTCTTTGGTATAAATCCAAAAGAACTGAAAGCAGAGACTCAGTTATTTGCACATCCATGTTCACAGCACCATTAGTCACAATAGCTAAGGGGTGGAAGCAACCCAAGTGTCCATCAAAGATGAATACATAAGCAAAATGTGGTCTATACGTACAAAGTAACACTATGCGGCCTTAAGAGGGAAAGAAATTCTGACACATGCTACAACATGAATGAACCTTGAGGAGACACCATTTCCTTCCAAGTTTTACCAGCGGAGACATTCTGAAATCATGTTTTTAAAATCAGCATTATTTAGTTAGATTTGATTTTCTTGCTCTGAACTGTCATGCTGTTGAACTGGACTTTGATTTATTGACACTGGAAGATGTGGGGTCTGTCTCCCCAGTTAAAGCACAAAGGGCTCAGTTCTAGGTTAGCTGCCATTGATGAGGGTTCCCCACAAACTGGGGGAGGGGGAGACTGGGCTCAAAATGTAGTTTGTCTTACTGGAAAATATAGCTTGTAACCATTCTTTCATAGCAAATATACTTTTAAGGAAATTAAATTAAATTAAAATTTAATGAAATTTAATTTAATGAAATGTCCTGATCGGTTTTTTTTTTTTTTTTTAAATGTCTGTCACACCAGGTCATGAACGTGTCACTGACTCAGTCATGGCTGAGGAGACTATTATTTTACCCAGTTGATTCTTATTAACTGCCATGTTGATGCCTTAGCTCATTTTTCTCTTCCTGCCCATTGTTTTGTCATGTTACATGTAACAAGTGTTAAGAATTTTTTTTCTAATATATTAAGGGGTGCCTGGGAGCATTTGTCATTCAGCCCTAAAGAACACAATGTCAAAAAGAAGTCTGAGGCTAAAACTGAATTTCTTTTCTTTTTTTTTTTTTTTTTTTTTTTTGTCGAAGGAAACAAGTTTCTCTTTGCCAGCTGGTGAACATAATTGGTTCTCTGGTGGCATTATTCACAGCTTTTCCCTCTGTGTATCTCTTTCTCTCTCTCTTTTTTCTTTAGATACCTTCCATCTTGCTTGTTAAAAGCAAAGGATATTTCAGAGAATTGGAATTCATTAGTCTTCCTAACAGAGGGAGTCTACTTAGATCTAAATTGGTGGTTAGCAAATATACAGATAATTCCCGCACATTCTTATTTCTCTTTCCCAGTTCCGAAGACTATAGAAACAGATGCCTCAACGTCTGGCTGGGAGGCTCTAGTCAATGGACTGGAATACAAAGGTAGCGGAGATTCGGAATTGACAAAATTCAATAGAAACAAATTGCAACTCTTCACTGTTGAGTAGACTATCTCTATAATCAGATTTCCCTAAGGTACTCATAATACCCAGAAATTCTAAGACAAGACTGTAGTCTTTCATATAAACAAAACAGGAGGCAAAACATTATAACGGAAGCGAGATGCCGTGATGGAAACTGCACTGGAAGCTCTTCACTCCAGACAAAAGTTGCCAGCGGCGGATGCACCCAACAACTTATCTATTCCCACGGGGGGTGTCCTGTCCGATTCTGTGCATGATTTCCTTAAGTCCCTCAAAACGGGCCTTGACTCCACGATGAACTTTAGGCTTAGCCCTGCTGAATGTCCTAGAGATGTTTGCAAAGCATATTAGACTATCTTAATCAATTGATTGCTTGACAGATATCTATCCCTGTCGTTGAGGTAAAATATGCTACGCTGCATATTGTGGGAAACATGAACATGAACATGAAGCAAGCCCTTCCCTCAGGCAGCTTATTAATAAACTAGGGTATGTGACATTTTAACAAATAGCTCTCTGTGTGTTAAGAAATATATAGACTTCCATGGATTTAAAGGAAGGAGACATTGCGGTCAGCTTGCAGATTTGAGGGAAATCTCTTTTGGGAGCTGAGATTTGAAGGATTATAATATTTTACAGATGGAGAATGAAGACAAAGACATTCAGTGGAGGAAACAGGAGACAACAAGGGGTTGGTTTCATTGTAGTATTGAGGAGATAAGGCTAAGGCAGCAGACAGGGATAAAACTAGAAGGATGGAATTTGAGATTTTTCCAGATTTCTGGAGGAAAGTCTGCCAAATCCAATAAGACAGTACTACTGTCTAACACATTCCAGTTAAAAGTAGTATATTCCACGCCAATGGAGAAAACATATCTTTGAAAAAATAATGGTGTTCTCCTTAACTACCGGAAAGAATCTGGCTTTATTTTATCAGGATAGAGAGAAACAGATAGATTTCAAGTTGATATAGTTGTTCCAAGAGAAAAATATTAACATAAAAACTTTACTCCTTTTCTCTATTTATCTCCTCTAAAGGAAAGCCTGAGCAATTCTATTTTATCTTAATCAATACGAAGCAGAAAGTGGGAGGAGGAGGATAGACCTAAAGGTAGTCTTATTCCCTTACTCAAAGTTGATTATCCGTGTGTCCTGGGGTTTTGCAGGATGTGACTCATATCCTGTGTCCTTATTCAAATCAGGTTATTCCCATTGAACAATGACTGATAAACAATGCAGTCGTGATAACCCACTGACAACTAGTAGAGACCAATATTCCCTAAGTATGTGAAGATACCGCCCCAGGAAATTAACTCTCAAAAATTTTAGTTCAGTATCCAATTACAGAGGAAAGTTAAGGGAGTTTTCTGTAAGCTCTATGCTTTCTGGGAGCTTTATGTAAGATGAGGCCTTTGAAGTAGGGGTGGATATGTCCTGGCACTTCATTAAATATTTTCTAGGATCTTAGAACTGGTACTTTTGCGAAAAACGATTTTTTTCTTTTTTGGTGTGCATATCATTTAAATGTTCCTTTTTATAAAGAAATGATGATTAGGGATTTATCTGAGCTGGAGGAAAGTGATGTTAAAATAATTTGTGGGGCGCCTGGATGGCTCAGTCCGTTAAGCCGCTGGCTCTTAATTTCGGCTCAGTCATGATCTCGGGCTCTGTGCTCACCACTCAACCTCCTTGAGGATTCTCTCTCTTCCTCTCCTTTTGCCCCTCCCCTGCTTGGGCACATGCTCTCTCTCTCTCTCTCTCTTAAATAAATAAGTCTTTAAAAAAATAACTTGCCTCAGACAAAAAAAATAATTTAAGCCCTGTGATATCAATTATATTTTAAGTTTCAAATTATTTTTTAATCAATTACAATGTC